ATGTTGAAATAAAAAAAATTACAATACTATTTTTGCGTTGTATGAAATTTTTTTTCGCTCCGTATAAAATTTTTAATCAAGCCCCCACCCCCGGTCAAAGGTGTCCCTCTTTACCAATCTGAAAATCTGGTCACCTTAATCATGAGTTGCACACAAAAGGGAGGACTTTGTATCATAATTGCCACAATAGACATTTTATCAGCTTACGTCCCCCAAAGATGACTATCTTTTGGGAAAAAGTTGGAAGAGAGAGAACTGTGAAACCCAGGAAGGGAGGGACAAACGATAGACTAAACTAGCATTAAACTGGGGATACTTTGGAAGCAATTCATTTCTGACTATTCTGTTGTAAGTCAAGAGGACATTTCTTTCACTCTTACTGTAGTTAACAGACATTACAATAGATGTGTTCCACTGTGTTAGAGTGGAGAAAGACAAGATAACAATAATGATGGCTAATAAGCCTGCAAAACAAAATAAAAAAGTATATTCAGCTTACCTACATAAGTCATTCATACAGCTGGAAATGTAGGAATAAGGATCTATGCTCTGATGACAACTTAGAAAAGGAAACTGCAGGAGTATTTGGCACTTGAAATAGATACTCTAAATGTAGAATGAAAATGGTATTGAGATATATATGCATATACCTACATGCAAAAAATGTGAATGGCGTGGTGATCTAGTTGTAAAAACTCTCTCCTTCCATTCAGAAGGTTCAAAGTTCAATCCTAGGTAGCAGCAGATGCTTCTCTACTAGAGTGCAAAGAAAACCTATCTGCTGCAAACTCTGCATGGTGTCAGGAAGGGCATCTGGCCAATAAATTCTTAGCTCCATCCAATCCTCCCACCTCTATCCGAAATGAATGGATTACAGCAGTGGTGGGTTCCTACCAGTTCGGCCGAACTGGTAGTGATATGGCGGCCTGGGTCGCTGAACCAGCAGTGACCCAGGCCTGCCACGCCCCTGTACCAGTTCCCTGGTCTTTTCTGCTTTGCTGGCATGTTTCTGCACATGCGCAGAACAGTTTTCAGTCAACTGCACATGTGCAGCAACACGCGCCGGGCGTATAAGTGAAATGAGCAGTGTGCACCCAAAACACCCTTTCAGCGAACAGGTAGTAAACCGGTTAGGAACCCATCGCTGGATTACAGCGTCATAAAAAGGGAATTTAAACATGCAAAATATTTCCTCCCATCCAAGGATATTTTATTTATAAATCTAGGCTAATAACTCTTTAGAAAAGCCAATACACTTTTTATTATATCGGTTGTGCTTATTGTAGAGGCATAACCTGAACTATCCTGTGTACATTGCTGAAAGATAATGCAAGATGTTTTGTGAGAGACTTCTGACTCTAGTGTGTCATTCCCATCACAAATCAAAGACAGTCCTTCCAACCTTTCAAGTAGGTTTTTCAAGGGGAGAGAAGGGAAAACCTGCTTTGTTCTACTTGTGGCTCTTGAGATCAAGACCCATAAAAATAAATATTTTATATGAAAATTGAAGCCTAAACTACTTACCTCATAAGATTCTGTATCAATGTTGCAAGGACTAGGAAAACTAGATGCAATAGCTACACAGGTTGCATCATCTGGGATTTGTACAGTCCAGCTGTTAGCAAATTTAGCTACATCTTCTTTATAGTCACCTATTTAAAAGCATAAATTTTATATGTAGCCCAGTATATACAATAGGATATTCAAAGTGGGATTATTCAAATGATGTATCCCTAGATTGTAAAATATGCATGTGATGTATAATTCCTTTAAAATAGATAACATGGTGCATCTGCCATCATATCAATTTGAGTCTTGGCATGGACTTATAATAACAATAGTTGATACAAATATACCTTATTAATGATAGTCAAGACCAGGTAAGAAATGTCCAGTTTGAATTTTGCCATACACACAAATTGTAGTCTTAAGCAGTTTATCCCATTTCAAAATCAGTCCTTAATGTGCAATAGGCAGATAATACCACTGATTAAATAAAGTCATAAGAATTATAATGATGTTATGAATCTTGAATACATTATATCACTGTTAAGTAATTATATAGTTTTCACCCCATGACTTGCGAAAAGTATGCAATTACCATCCACAACAGATTCAATAGCCTAGTAATATTCTCTGATGACAATTACAAATAAGTAGAATGTAAGGAAGTGGGTTGGGTTTATCATCATATTTTAGCATGGGTTATTTGCTTACTACTTTGTAATATGAGATCATCCAATGTGTTGTTATTATAATTTCCGCAGAGACCACATGTTTTTCCCTTGTGTTCTTCTGTCAATTTAATGTAAATCCCAGAGTTTCCATCCCAAGCTAAGGAAAAGCCAAATGTAGTTTTCACCAAAATATAGTTTGCTAATTTTTCAATGAAAATATTTCCAATTGTTTGGGGCAAAGACAACCTGAAAAATAAAATAAATTCTAATTTAAAGATGTCAGTTAGTATAATCATGCTATAAGAAAAATAATTTAATAATTTTCATATGAATACTTTAGTTATTTTAAGAAACATAAGATAACATTTCAATTGTTTTTACCTGACTCCACCCTTTCTAACTTCATGTCCCAATATGTGTATTTCATCTTGATTTGAAAAGAACAAGCTTATTGACCGTGAACAAGAATACACTGAACCAGCACAGTGAGGGCTATTATTAATCTTAAAGAGAGAAGAAATAGATACATAAAACATAAGAACATGTTTTAAGTATTACATAATATACAATTTATTTTTCAAAAGAAACAAACTGAGATACTTGGAGCAAGTTTTTCAATAGCATATTTGGTATTCATGTCTCTAAAGAAAAACTATATGCATGTTAACATGTATAATACATGGTGGATACATTTTTCACTAGCAGATCCAGTGGTGGGATTCAAATAATTTACCAACCGGTTCTCTGTCCTAATGACCAGGTGGGTAGGCGGGGCTTAGTGGTTATGTGATCGTGTGGGCGTGGCCAACTCAACATTACTCAGGTCGGTGGGTACTTCACCTTAACTGTTACAATGTAATAAGGGTTAACCAGAGAGGCAGTTTCTGTAAGCAGGGCAATAAAGATTAAGCTAGAAACAACACCAGAATGTTTCCTTCCTGCCTTCCTTACAGGATTAGCCCTGTAAAGCGGGGGGAAAAAACCAAAAGAAGATTTCTTCCAACAACCGGTTCTCTGAACCTCTTAGAAAATTAAGAACTGGTTCTCCCAAATAGGTGCGAGCTCGCTGAATCCCACCACTGATCAGATCATATGCAATCTTCATAAAAATAGACTTAGAAGTGTAACACCTATATTGCGATTACTCTACTGATTACCAATGAGCTTACAGACCCAACTCAAGGTGCAAATTTTAACCTTTAAAACCCTGCATGGCTTGACACTTATGTATTTAAAAGTTCATCTCTGCTAACCAGAATATCTTTGACCTATGTATTCATCCTGAATCACCTAATAAAAATATCCACTCCATATCAGTTTAACCAACTGGGTATTTGTTATGTATGTGTATTTTAGTCGAGCTATCAAAGTATCAAAATCTTGTGACAAATGTTAGATGATAGCAATAGCACTTAGACTTATATACTGCTTTACAGTGCTTCACAGCCCTCTCTAAGTGGTTTACAGAGTCAGCATATTGTCCCCAACAATCTGGGTCCTCATTTCATCCTCAGAAGGATGAAAAGCTGAGTCAACCTTGAGCCTGGTGAGATTTAAACTGCCAAATTGCAGGCGGACGGCAAGCAGCAGCTGTAACCTGCAGTACTGCACTGCGCCATCACAGCTCAAGATATTAAATGTTAGATGATGATGGATGATGGATGATTGATAGATGGTGAGATAGACAGATACTAACCAGAACATGGTTAAATTTGCTGCCAACCTAAAACAGTTATTCAATTATACTTTTACATGCAGCCTTAATGCAACTTTAAAAATGTTTGTATTGCAAACATGGGTTTGGGATGAACTTTACTTGTATCCTTGCTAATTAGTCTGATAAACTATGCCCTTACACCAATAACACAGGAAATATCAAAATAGTATTATTATCATTAATCTGAAGATTTTAAATATCAGTGTGCTTTTTTATTTCAAAACTTCAAAATTCCTTGCTCGTCATTTAATAAAATGCTGACTCTAATCTCATTTTTTGTTAATCTTCACATAAGATATTCTATGGCAATATAGAATATATTAACATTAAAAAACTAATAATGCTGAATTCAAATGATGAAAAAGAATTCTGAGTGATATAGTTCAATCTAGAGTAGTACATTCAACTAAATGGCATTTTCTTCTATTAGGCAATTTTCTGAATGGATTTTTGTTCCCATCAGTAAGGAAATTTTCTGATATCATTCCTTGTAAAAAAAAATGTGTGATTGAAAACCTTATAGATATTACACCTATCTTTCTAATGTACTAAATAGATGCAGACTACTAAATCCCCACCTTCTACCTAATGTGTTTAAAATTAGGTCTAGCAGTAACAAAATCCTGTCAAATCCATATGAAAGTTGCAAAATGAAACATGTATAAGAATTCAGACCAATTTCTAAGAATTATTGGAAATGAACAAAATATTTCTATAATATTAGAAACAATATTGACTAATGTAATTAGGATATACTTATCACATTATCTATTCTTTTATATTGGCTGCCCCGAACTTTTTTCAACCTCAGAATGAAATAATTGTTAATTGCTCAATGAATGGAATCATGAATCCACAAACTGAACCACAGAATGGAAATAGTTCTTTCTCTTTCCATACTATAATCTAAACTAGCTTAGTTACACACTATAGAAGAATCTCTTATATGACTGGGAGAAAACAGCATGCTGTTTTCAGGTCTCTCTTGCCCCAATTTCAAGTCTTACCCACACAGTGTACTGAGGTTCTGGATCACTGCAATCTTTCACAAAAATGTAGGAGCAGTTTCCTGGGAAGTAGTAGTAGATGCCATCAAATGTTTCAAAGTGGTATTGTCCCCATGATTTGCAAATACCACCTCTGTCTTTGCCAGTATTTGGAACTAAAGAAAACAAACATACTTGTTTGCAAGCCAGGCCAGCAGAAACAATAATTTCAGACAAGTGTTGCTCATTGCAAAGATATTAATCACATTATGTTGGAGGAAAAAATTCCATCTGAAACATCACAATATAATCAGATGTTTAAAAAGAATCTATGGATGGATATGTAAACAAATAAAAATAAAATAAGGAAATTTGATAATATATGCTCTGAAGACAAGTTAAAGTATAACTAGATAATATTATAACTAGATTAACTTCCTGAATATTTCCTGCAGTAACTGCCTTTCTCAAAAGAGCTGGCATCTTTTCATCTTTCTTCTTCAAGATCTTGCAAGGACATGAAAACACTGGTGCATGAAAAAATAGTGAAGATTATCTATACTCGTCATGGCCAACCGATGGCACGCGTGTCATAAGTGGCACACAGAGTAATCTCTCCTGGCATATTAGTGGTCACCCATTGCTCTTTCAGGTTCCGGCACGCACGTGCATGCTGGCCAGCTGGTCTTCGTGTATGTGGGAGCACCAGAAATTGGAAAAGCAACTCCCTGGCACACATGCCCATGCCAGGAAGCTGAGCTTCCGGTTTCTGGTGTGTGCATGTGTCCGGCCAGCTGGTCTTCCCATATGCATGCATGCCAGAAACCAGAAGACCATGTGACCAGCAAGCATGTGCACGCCAGAAACTGGAAGTTCAGCTTCCCGGTGCACACATACATGCCTGGGAACTGCTCTTCTGGTTTCCGATGCTCCCCCGCACCTGAGTGCACTCCTATTTCAGCACTAGGTGTCAAAAAGGTTTGCCAACACTGATCTATGCAAATAGGGCTTTTCCAGAATAAAAATTGGAACTGTATTCTAAGCAGAGGCTTTTGCAAGATTATTGTAAAAGAGTTACATTTATGAAAGGATGTCACCACAAGCTGTAGTACTATGGTACGACAAACTCTTCTGTTTTGTGTGTGACTGTGCCATCACAATACAAATAAGGGACCAGGCTTGCATCACAAGCAATTTCCACCCCTCTATGGATGCATCTGCTAATAAAACGAATGATGAAGTTATAAGGTAGCAAATGAAATACTATACTTTTATATATACCTAATCTTGAGTCTAAGGATGAAAGAATGGGAATCATAAATATTTTGAATATGGGCCTCCTCCAAAATGATTGGGGACACAACAGAAAAGTAAAGATCCATATCATATTATTTAATACTTGCCTGTGATAATTTCTCAGTTCTATTAAATTCAGATTAGTAATTGTTCTAATGGCAAATCTTTTGGGATTGAATTCAAGGCTTTTACATTGCACACAGCCTCAAAGGTTCATATTGTGCAACTCTTCAGTTAAAAAGGTTTGGGGGTAGACGATTGGAAAGGAATGTGAAAACCATTAACTCATGAAAGAGTCTATAAATGAAAACTCAGCCCTGTGAAAGTAGTAAGCATACTTTAAGAGACTTAAAACAACCCCACCTTGATTCTGTGTGGCATTGGAGAGGACAAGGAAACTGGCAGTCTTCCAAGATTTTGTAATAATTATATCTTACACAATAAAATAGAATTCCATTGGTTCCATCGACCTCTGTTTCCTGAGTTGGGCTACCTTGAAGAGCTGACATCAATTTAGCTAACTTCAAACACTTAACACCCACTTTAAACACCTTTTAAAAAAATCCTAACAGTCTTAACCAGTTAAAAGAATGTCAGAACAACATCAGAACAACAATTACAAGTTACATTTAGGCTTAGCAGTACTTATATGGTTGCAAAATGTTATTAAAATACAAGATTGAATCATTTTTACAATATACCTACAACAAAAGTGCATCACACCTTCTCCTGAAACTTACTGATTTGGCAGCGCTGCCCCTGTGCCTGAAATGTCTCACAGTCACAAACTCCTGTCTTTGTGCAAACTGCTCCATTAAGACAATCTTGAGAACAAGAAGCTGCATAAAAAAACAGACAGGTGTCAGTTAAGGCTCAGATTAGAGGAACTTCTTAAACAGGCTCTGGTACCTCTCAAACCTGTTTCAGTTATCTGCATATCCAAGGACTTGATGGGTTGAGAAAGATTGCCCAAAATAAAATATACATTATCTTACAAATAGCTTTCTGTTAAGTTTATTCTCCTTCATATAAGCTGCTCAAGTGTGTTCTCTCTTCTTAAGAAGTTATTTTATTTCTGCAAAAATCCACAATTCATAAATTAATTATTTCTTGCAGTTAAGGTGAAACACATATTTAGTTCCTTTTTTAACATCTGGGAAAGTTCCCTCAGAAATGAATTATTTAAAAGCATTTTTCATCCAAAGATAAAAAATATCATCCCATACGCATCATGCAGCTGTGTATAAATTTGTGAATAAAATGCCTAAGACAGCAATTTGGAATAATCAGCAAAGATGCCATAAAGAAAATTGGCTTTATCACAGCAGACAGAGCAACAGAACTGGTTGATGAATTTGTGAAAAAAATCAGTTTTCACCCACCCACCTCCAGTTTAATGGACAGATAAATATTGGTGCATTTTATTATACTGCCTGTTTACCTTCTGTCTTGGAACACAAGTCAGTGACTGTTTTTTTTTATTTCTTAACCCATAAGCAAATAAATACTCAATGGGAAAATAGACCTGGCCCCCAATTATAGAGTCACAGTCTTTCTTGTCATGTTAAAGAAAAATCTGCTCCAGTTGGTTTATTGTAAGTATGTGGAATGGAAAGAAGCTACCTTATTCTTTCCATCTCATTTGAAACTGGATTTGATCTGCCATGTCAATAACCCACCTATTTTTGCAGCCTTCTTCCAACTATTAAAACAGCGAACTTGTCAAATATTCACATTAACAGCTGTGAAAAAATCATGGCAATTATACAAATATATTTAATTATAGTTAGTTGGGTTATAACGTTACTGACCTCTTGTTGAATTCTGAGCCTGAGAAAATACATTATGAACATCTGATGAAACAGTGGTTGTCTATGAGAGGAAGGGAGAAAAACAAGCAAACCACACATGAGTATCCAAACCAAAAATAAATCAGCAAAACTTAAAATTACATAAATTACAATTTACTTGTAAAAAATTAATTGCTTTAAGTTTATATAAAGATTGTTCTCAGAGGAAACTCAAAGCTTTTGGCTAGTTAACAGTGAATTCAGATATAATTCCATTCAATGTTAGGAAAATAAAAGAGACTTACCAATGCTGAACACCACCAAAATGAAGGCATTTAAAAAACATATGATTCTTATATTAAAAATGAAATGTTGCTCCATTGTTGAAGTATAGATAAAGATGTATGGTGTGATTTTTGAAATTTGCCGCATTACCGAAATTGTATTTCAGCAACATTGACAATCTTTCTAAGCCACAACTTCTGCTTTTTGAATAAACCCACAGTTTGCACAAAATGCTATGCTGAAAACAAGTAAACCATGATATAATTTATTGCACTATAAATCCAGTCAGCATCTCCACTTACTCAGTTGAGTAAACAGTCTCCTGCAACATAACCTGCCTTGACAGTAAAATAAAGCCCTCATTGCAGACAACAGGTCCTGGGAAAGAGCAAGTTGTGAATGGACAAAGCTATGGGTGTTTCATAACCTGTCCTGCATGTTCTAAGCTTGTTTCCCACCCTTTTCTTGGATGGAAGAAACAATCCCACTACCATTGTCAAATAATATTGAAGTATGAACCACCAGGGTTGAAGTAACATTACCTACTCTAACTGAATGTGGAATAAGGACACCATATTATGTAGGTTGGTCCCGTTATGATGGCTGACATAAATATTTTGCTTGCTCCTTTCAACTAAAAGATAAAGTAGATGAAGATTAAATTATTTGCAATTTAAACTAATATTAATTTGATTTTAGAAGTCTTCTTGGTCTTCATCTACAGTGGGTATAGAAAGTCCACACACTCCTGTTAAAATGACAGGGTTCTGATATGTAAAAAAAATCAGACTAAGATAAATCACTTCCAATTTTTTTCTACCTTAAATATATAAGCTGCACAAGTCAATTGAAAAACCAACAAACTGAAATTTTTAGTGAGCAAAAAATAAAACAAAAACAAAAACAATATAGTTGCATAACTGTTCATACCCTTACAAATAGGGATGTGACTATGAAGTTCAGCTGTACGGTAGGATTTTTCTGACATTTACTCTGAAAAGTCTGTTGTTTCTCACAGCAAAAGCCATCATCTGAAAAGAGTTTACAAGGCATCAAAGGGATCTCATTATTAAAAGATATCAGTCTGGAGGACACACAAAATTTCCAAAGCATTGGCTATATCCGTGATTGTGAACGTATGGCACGTGTGCCACAGGTAGCACGCACGGCCATTTGTTACGGCACACAAGAAGTTTGGGAAGTTCAGGTCATTTTTCTCCCTCCAGAGGCTTCAGGGAAGCCTCCTGAAGACTCGGGGGGGGGGGAAACAGCCCTACAGGTAGCCCAGAGGTTCGAGAATGGACTTCCCGATTCCCCATAGAGCAATTTTTTGCCCTCTGGAGGCTTCAGGGAGGGCCTCTGGGGGGGGGGGTGAGGGAGGACATTTTTGCCCTCCCAGGATCCTAGAAAGGGGGAGGGTGGGGTTGCACACACATGCGTGCAAGGGTTGTGTGCATAGAATTATGGATGTGGGCACATCCCCACATGACTCCCCTGCATTCCCCTCACTTTTGGCACGCGATAGCAAAAGGGTTAGCCATCACTGAGCTGTACTATGGAATATAGTGAAGACAGTTATCAACAAGTGGAGAACATTTGCAAAGACATTATGAAGGATGTCACTGTTATGTCATATTTTCTACACTTGATGATGACTGTCTTCACTATGTTCCATAGTATAGCCAATTCATTGGAAATTTTGTGAGTCCTTCTCTGGACTGATACTTTCAAACAATGAGATCCCTTTGATGTATGTCTGAATTTTTTACATCTCAAAAACCTGACCTTTTAACAGGGGTATGCAGCAGAGATGGTATTCAGCAGGTTCTGACCTGTTCTGGAGAACTGGTAGCAGAATTTTTGAGTAGTTCAGAGAACCGGTAAATACCACCTCTGACTGGCCCTGCCCCCATCTATTCTCTGCCTCCCGAGTCCCAGCTGATCGGAAGGGAATGGAGATTTTATAGTATCCTTTCCCTGCCATGCTCACCAAGCCATGACACACCCACCAAGCCATGCCCACAGAACCAGTAGTAAAAAAATTTGAATCCCACCACTGGTGTGCGGACTTTCTATACCCCCTGTAGATGAAGACTGAAACTCATATTAGCTTAAATGTCTAAGTAGTTTAAGTTTATGAAGAACTGGATGTTCCTCCAAAATTAATAAAATGAAGAAGAAAACTGGTCTGAGCGGCTACTAAGGGGCCTATAGCAACTTTGAAAGAGCTACAGGAATTTTTGGCAAGTACTAATTGTATGCTAAATGCTGTATTCTTCATATGCGGGATAGGGTGGCAAGATGGAAGCCTTTTCTTCATATATCCAAGCCTGGCTATATTTTGCAAAACCCTACATCAAGTAGGACAAAATCATGGCTGAGAATGTGTCCTGGTCTGATGAGACCAAGGTTGAACGTTTGGGCCATAATTCCAAAAAGTATGCTTGGTACCAAAACAACACTGTACATCATCAGAAGTACACCATACCCACATGTTGATGATGGTGATGGCAGCATTATGCTTTGGGGCTGCTTTTCTTAGCTGGAACTGGGACTTTAGTCAAGGTGGAGCGAATTAGGAATTATGAGTCAATTTTGGCACAAAAGCTTCAGGCCTCTGCTCAAATACTAAAAAATAAAGATAATCTTTCAACATAATAATGACCCAAAGTTTACTTCCAAATGACAAAAGAATGGATTCATCTTTTAGAATGATCCAGTAGTGGGTTTCAGTTGGTACACCCCAGTATGGGTGTACTGGAGCCTGCCTGGAGCACCAGGCAACATTCCGGTACGGTGCTCCAGAGGGCCCACCCGCCTGCCCGAACTCCTTACCTGTCCTTTAAAGATTTCGGCGCTTACACACATGCGCATAGTGTGTACAGCACCTGTATGACACTCTGACAAGTAGCTGGAACGTTGTGGAGGCTTACAAAAACATTGCTGGCAGCTACAATGCATGTGCAATCTGCGTACGTGTACGCATCCATGTGAGCGACACCAGGCCCGTTCTGGAGCTGGATCCAGAAACCACCACTGGAATGATCCAAAATTGGTTCCAGTTGAATCCAATTGAAAATCTATTGGGTAACCTAAAGAGGACTGTGCATAGGAAATGCCCTCCCTCTCTGACAGATTTGTAGCGCTATTGTAAGGAAAAATGAGCAAAGACTCCCAAGGCAAGATGTGCCATGCTGATAGATTCCTACCCCCAATGTTTGAATGTGGTCATAAAATCAAAAGAACGTTCAACAATTTATTAGTGTAAGGGTGTGCATCTTTATGCAACTACATTATTGTAAATTTTTTTTAATTGTTGTTTTTCTCCCACTTGTACAGCTTATATGTTAAAGGTGGACAGAATTCTGAAGTGATTAATCTTGGTCTGATTTTTTTACATCTCAAAAACCTGGCACTTTAACAGGAGTGTGCAGACTTTTTGTATCCACCGTATTCCAGATTAAATGAGACACTTAAATAGGGAGAAGATTTTTCACAAGTATAACATTCGTTTGTGGGAATCTATTGTGGAAAAAATAGAACTGTCGCATCTGAAAGAGAACTCATCTACTGTTTCCCAATTATGCATTTTGAAAAGCACCAACAAAATTCCTTTTTGTCTACTCATAAAAGAGATAACATGAAAGGCTTTTTTCTGTTTTGTGTGTGCATCACTTAGTGCATTAAGGTGATTAATTTAATAAGCTAGTTACAAAGAATGAATGGATAGTTAAACATAGGTTTGCATTTTGAGAATTGCAGGAAAATAGGTACTGTATAGAAAAACTATTCCATTCGTTCCTGCTGTGATATTCACATTTCCATTCTGTTTTACAAAGACTTCATTGTAGGAATAGCAAGCACCCTTTGTTGGCAAATGTGTGTGTGTATGTGCCTTTTCTCTTCTTCCTTTTGAGGTATAGCCTACCTCAGCTGCTAAGAGATCTCCTTTTTGAGGAACTACAGTAAATTCATTCCTGAAAGAAAACAAAGAGAATCCTGTATAATCAAAGGTTGTGAATAAACCGATTCCCATGAGAGAGGTGCTTCATTCTGATTTATCTCAGTTCATCAAAGACACCTTTCTTGAGCTAAGTTATTTTTTAAAGAAACAGTTAATGTGCAAGTTTGTTTCCATTTTCATCCCCTCTTTTACAGGTATAAGAGATACCGATCTTTTGCTCATGGACATTACTTATAGTTAGAAATACGGGTTGGATACATTTAATAATTGAAAAGAAATAAAAAAGGAAATGGAATAGTTTCATTAAAATTGGAAAAGGTCAGAATGACAATCAACGATGTTAAAGTTCATTAGCTCACTGAAACTCAGGATCAGGTTCTACTACATTTTAAGCTCTGCAGGGATATCAGGTCTGCTTACATTCTGCCCCTAATATATAAATTTCCAGGAAGACCACTCTGTGTGAGCCATCTTTTAGAAGATTTGAAACTATCTATTGATGAAACTACCACCTGTACAATAGCCAAATTCTGTGTTGCCACAATGAAAATAAGGTTTAACTTGTTAGGAAATAATCATTTCTGATTTATTGATCACTTTAGATTTAACACGTCCTAGCTATTTTGTTTCTAAACAATATATATATATTTACTTCATAGCCTTTAATAGGTTTGCATAACTAATTCATGTACCATTATACACATTTCTATACATTATTTTAACATTGTTATGCTAGTATTTATCTCATCCACTTGATTATATTGTAGTGTTGTCTTTTTTGTGGAGGGAAGTTTTGCTGGCTATTGATTGAATACATTATTATTATTATTGTCAGGGCTATAAGTATATAACACATTCAAGACTCATACCACCAGTTTGCATATATTAACTATTGCAATTCAATTCCTCTCTGTAGTTGGTTTTCTAGATATGTAACTTGCAACCAACTGATTTTATCTCATCAATGATTTCATAGGAATTCCTTTCCAAAAAAAACCTTAAAGTTAGTACTCAATTTACAACCACAATTGAGCTCAAAATTTCAGTTTCTGAGCAAGGTAGTTAAGTGAATTGTGCCACATTTAATGACATTTTTGCCATAGTGTTAAGTGAGTAACTGCACTGTTGAGTGAATCATACAATAATTAAGTGAATCTAGCTTCCCCCGTTGACTTCGCTTGTC